AGGGAAAGGGAAGGAAGGAGGGAAGGAAGGAAGGAAGGAAGGAAGGAAGGAAGGAAGGAAGGAAGGAAGAGCAAAGGAAACAGACTGTTCTTATGGTTTTCTTCTGTACTGTTTCAACTGCTACTATTTTATTCTTAGGTTTTCGTTTCGCTCAAAGAACATTATCCGGCAGGGGAGTCGAGTCCCTCCGATTTAATCTTTGAGTTGAAAGCCTTGCACTTGGCTTTATGCACGGTGTCTGGTGACACCAGCTCAAAGATGGCACCCACACCACCATGCGGACCCACCTTGATTCCCCATTATGCATCGCAGAAGAACCAGCCTGTGTGGCCTTGGGCAAACTGTACAGTCCCAAGGTGCCCCCAGAAGAAGGGAATGGTAAACCACTTCTAATTTCTCTCTATCTAGAAAAGCCTTAAAAAGTGTTGCCAGAAGTCAGAATGGCACATAGTTGACTTGATATCACATGGTTAGACATCCGGGAAGAGCGCACTGGAAGGTGAAAAGGTGCACGGCATAAGGAGCCAGGATCCCTGACTGGAAATGATGCTGCCCTGGACCACCAGCAGCACTAGAGAGCAGCAAGCAAAGACTGGGGAATTTATTTTGGGGGGTTGCAACACCCTGAATTCTCCAACTGGCCAGGCTAAGGAGGGGATTCAGGGCACTGTAGTCAAGCACAGATTTTCCTCAAGCCATGGCAATCTATGCGTTACAGGTTACAGAAACTGATTTAACCGTGCCTGCACAAGAACAGAAGGAGCATCAGAGGGACAAGAGAGAAAAGTGTCGGCCAACTTTGCCAAAAAGAGGGAACTATAGTTCCGGGATGCAGAAAATATGACATTCTTTATTTCAAGTTACAACAGCCGATGAGTTTCGGCATATCAGACTTCTTCAAAGGCATGTTTATTAAACTCTAATGAGCTCTTTCTCTGTTTATTCAGTCTGTAGCTAACCGCATTAAACCAATCAGAAAGCCGACATACTGGAACGCATTTGGGCATTCAGATTTTCTACATCCTGGGAGACCACAGTTCTCTCTTTTTGACCCAAGATTTCAATGGATATATCAGTTCCTTTAGTTACTTTGTAGGTCAGCTTTGGCAAAAATACACGCATCTATAAAAGAGGTTGCACGGCTAGTCAAGCTCTGTGCATGTATGACATAATTACGAGTGTGGTGGTCATCATCATCATCAACAATTTAAAACAGCAGAGTTGGAAGGGACCCAATGGATCACTGAGTTCGGCTGCTGTCAAAGAGGCACCGTGGGGGGTGGGTGGGAATCAAACTCACAACCGAGACCTCAACCACCGAGCTATAAAGCAAATTGTTCCTGTACCCCAGGCAGGTCCTGAGTTATCTTTCCGTTTATACTTTTCCACGATTAGAGGAAGAATTCCTTACTTCACTAGACTGGCTTGGCCATACCAGCCCCTTCAGGTAACACATCCAACAAAGATTATTTATCCAGCTAGGAAACGACATTTCTATCTTGGCCATGGAGGATGAGAAGACTCACCCCACTCTAGGGCTAGCAGGAGAATTCAGGATACTACCTTGGCTAGCAAAACAAAAACAAAAACAAAGCCCTGCCTCCCACAAAATGGCCTAAAAGAAGAAAAAGGAGAATACACCATCTAAGATCTCAGCCCAAAACTTGTGCTCCCAACTAGGGCTCCCAAGTTGAATGGAGTTCTGATTTTTTTATTAAAAAATTGAGCTGTCAGGTGGACTTTGGAGAGAGCAAAGAAAAGACTCTCCAAAAAGCTCAAGGCATCCTCGCGCTTCCATGCCCTAAAGCCAAGTATTTGTCCCAAGTAATGCAGACCCTCTGAAACAATGGGATCGACAGATGTAATTGCCACTCAGCGGGTCCGCTCCAGCTGAGACTTGCAACTGGATTTCGGCTGGTGAGGGGGAAGCCTTGGGCCCGTGGAATATAATGTAAGGAGTCCCAGAGGGAGAAAAGAGAACGGGGCCGTGAGCACCTGGCGAGGCCAAGAGAGAAGTTGGTTAAAATCTAAAGGATACGGTGAAGCGCTAGAAAAACAGTCCATAAAATGTTGGGTTTTTTTGAGCCTGAAAGGCAATGCAGCCTCAGACGCTCTGTTGCTTCAGAGCCACAGGATGGAAAATGCAAGGAAGCGAATTTCAGCTAAACCCTGGGAGAAACCTTCTAGCAGAAAGAGCTGCTCAACGTGAGAAGAGGAAGCTTTGGACAAAACTGGGCTCTCCCCTGCTGGAGGTTGAGAAAAAGCCCGACGGCCATCAGTTGGGGGTGCAATGACTGCATCTTTCATTGCAGATCTGGCCTTGAGCAGGGCATGGATTAGAGAAATCTCCTCCAAGTCTACGCTGGGCCAACACTTCAAAGGGTTAACTCAGCCCATCCCCCAGTTAAGGTTTCTATTTCACAGACTGTCCAGTTTTTTGTCCCCCCCCTCCCCCGGAAGAAGACAAATCTTCTTCCGCTTCCTACGGAAAGTACGCTCAGCTTGTGCCAGCAGCCCCCACTTCCTGGAGGTCAAGATTTCTGCTGCTTTCCTTAATCCAAAGTGTAGAGATCTGGACTCCAGCCTAAGCTGCCTTCTCCTCTCATTAAAAGGAAGCCAGCCTGACGGCTCATGACGGCCTGACACAAGAGGGGCGAGCTCTCTGCAGACATCCAGGAGCGCAGTCCTGTGGTCCTGGCAGCAGAAGAAGGGCTTCTGGAAACATTCTGTCGTTAGTGGGACTTTGCCCGCCACCCGCTCTGATATGGAGCCAGTAAGGACTGAACAGGTGGCTGGGAGACACTAGCCCTTCCATGGTGGGAGACACAGCCTTACGCCTTAGAAGGCAGCCGACTGGGGAAGACAGCTGTGAGTCTTTAAGGTGGGGGCATAGCAGATTAAGGTCCAGATAATCTGGCTAGATAGCTCAGTGAGTCAGATATCTGATTGCAGAGCCAACGGCTGGGAGTTCAATTCCCCACCCTTCCTCCCGGGAGAAGAGCCAGCCTGGGTGGCCTTGGGCCAGCTGCAACATAGTCCCGGGGGGGCCCTTAAAAGAAGAGAATGGGAACCCACGTCTGAGTATTTGCCACCCAGGAAAGCCTGAAAAAGGTCATCATAAATTAGAATTGATGGCACATGATTATGTTATTAATAGATACCAGAACTATGAACCGTAATAAATTCAGGGTAGATCTCCAGTTTAGAGAGTAGGCTGGGAAAGTTAAATGTACACTACAACTCCCAGAATTCTGGGAGGTATAGTTCCAAAGAGAAACTTTCCCAGGATCTGGTGAAAGAGGGGGAACATGCCTCTCGAATACTAGCTGCTATGAACCATCAGCTGTGCAGAAGATCCCTTTCAGGTCCTCACCTTGAGAAACCTACTTTTGGGTGTGTGTGTGTGTGTGTTGTTTTGTACTCGTGCATTATTCAGATGCCCCTATCCAGAAACACAAGTCCTACAGCCGGTAGGCAGCCTTCTGTTTCTGGAGTACGACTCTCAGAATTCTGCCTGGGGAACTCTTGAAGCTTTTTGCAATCGAAAATATGAAAGAGTACACCCCCTAGTAGTTGCACCTTAGTTATTTCAAGAAGGGAATTGATTACAATCAATTGGTTGTTTGTAACCGGTTGTTTGCAAGCCCAGCTGAGACCTCCAAGGGCTACCCCCCAGAAAAAGAGAGAAAAAAAGCAACAGCAAGCGACATGACCAAAGTTGGGCCTGGAAAATGCAGCTTCCGGGAGGAAGCAGGAACCTGAACTCGGACCTTCCCTTTCAACAATGGCCAATAGACACACACACACACCCCGAGGGCAACGTACCTGACGTCCTTGCCCACAGTCATGGAGGCAATCACCTTCTTCACGGCCTCTTTCTTCTTCTCTTTCTTGTCACTGTTGAGCTCCGCCTTCAGTTCAAATATCTCCCCTGGCAAGGAAAGAGCGGGAGATCAGGGGACTGCAAACCCCCCCCCAACCTTCCCCGGTTATTTCCTGCCCTTGCTCCACCACCCTACAAAGACCAGCGGCCAAAAGGAATCCCGGAAGGATCCTGGCCAAGGATCTCTGGGATGTAGAAGTCCCGAGAAGTAACTTCAAGCAAACTCTGGGGGAGTTTCTCCAGTCAAGGTTATAATGTCGGAGCCCGGCTGCTCCGGGTTTTAAAGCACCTGCATTCAGAAACAGGACTCAACCAGGGACAAGCAGCCAATCCAGTAATTAACAAACAGGTCTTCCCTCGTCAGGATAGGGCTCCTGGTCAGGGCACACTGAGCGGGCCACCGCAGTGTTCGTTAACTCAGACCTCAGATAATTCTTAAAAATCAGTTCCAATTTATCAGAAATCTTTCATGGATTTGAAGTTGTTAATTCTGCACATGATATGCCAACAGTGCATTTGTTTTTTGGAGACACGATTAACATTCTACATCATTTTAATTTGTTATCTGGGAAGGATCACTAGAGGCCCGGCCATTTTAAGTGCTTCTCCAAGATTCCTTTAAAATTTAAGATTGACCATCAACAACATCTTAATTTATTGACTCTACAAATTAAACATTTTAATTATTAGCAGTTTAATTTTCCTTACTGCATTAGGGCTAAAGCATTTGGTTGTTGTCCTTAAATATATTAAAGTGGATTCATGTCGCATGCCACAGACCCACTTGAAGCTTGACCCCTTTTTCTTCCAGACACGCAAACCAATTTTTCCTCCCGGTTCAGTGTGATCATAATGTCTTAGCTTCCATGCTGGTGTTTTTTTTTAAAAGAAGGACAGAGAGTTTTGAGGAGCCTAATAATCCTCAAACTCCCTCGGGGGAAGCAAGCGTGTTTTATCCGCATCTTCTTAAAACCCTCAGACAAATGGCATGCTCTCCAAAGCAGCTCTTAATCCAATCTGGCAACACCACATGCACAAGATTATCTCAAGGTCTGCAGGAAGAGGATGCTCTGTGTGTGTGTGTGTGTGTGTGTGTGTGTGCGTGCGGATGCGTGTGTGTGTGTGTACACACAGGAACAGAACTGCAAGTATGACTCTAAGTTAGGTCATATGCAAAAAAAAAACAACCCACACCTGTTCCTCCCCAGCTCACCCTGATCTCTGTAAGAAAAAAAATCCCCGCCACTATCACAAAGCATGCCTTTCAGAGGCCTCTGGAAAAACCTGCATTGCTGGGATACTGTTAAGTCTTTAGTACCAAACTAAAAGTCCTTATTAAAAACCATTTTTAATAGGGGGAAAGAGAGAGGTTACTTACCTGTAACTCTGGTTCTTCAAGGGGTCATCTGTGAATTCACACAACTGGGTTATAGTGCGCCTGCGCAGAGACTCTCAGAAACATGTAGAGCTTTTACACATGTTGTTGGGACCTCCCTCCCCGTCGCGCCTGCACCGCCCATGGCACCGAGCGCCTCCGTTCAGTAGAACAGCCCGCCACTGCCCAGCATGCAACAGGCATACGTGACGGACTGAGGGAAGGGCGGGCGGGAAGTGTGAATTCACAGATGACCGCTCGAAGAACCCGAGTTACAGGTTAAGTAACCGCACTTTCTTCTCTGTGGTCTTCTCTGAATGCACGCAATGGGGTGACTAGCAAGCTGACTTACCAGGAGGCGGGACGTCACGACAAAACGGAGGGAAGAACAGCGTGACCAAAGGAGGCGTCAGCCTTGGCACGGACCTCTAGCCGGTCCTGGGTGGCAAAGGTGGAGGGCGTCGCTCAGGTGGCCGCTTTGCAAACATTAGCCAAGTCCACTCCTCTTAGGAATGACGTGGAGGTCGCCATGGCTCTGGTGGAGTGTGTCCATATGGTATGAGTTCATGGGCAAGGTCATATGCCAGGTGAATAGGAGAGACAATCCATTTGGAAATTGTTTGAGAAGTAACTGGAGAACCTCTAGAACATCCGTGACAACTGAAGAATAGTCTCTTAGACTTCCAAAACGAAGCAGAACAGGAGACATAAAACGGCAAGGCATGCCTGACATCCAAAGAATGCAAGCATCGTTCTAGGTTGGTAGTCGGCGAAGGGAAGAACGTAGGTAAAACGACGGGTTGTCGTAAATGAAAGTCAGACACCACCTTTGGAAGGAATGTGAGGTCAGAGTATAGTGTGACCTTGTCAAGGATGGCGCTGTAGAAAGGGTGGGTCAACGCAAAGAGCAGAGAGCTCACTGGACCCACGGGGCCGAGGTGATAGCAACAAGAAAGGTGGTCTTCAAGATTAAGAGTCCTTCTGGCGTGGTCGCCAGTGGTTCAAATGGCAGACGTATTAGGCGAGTAAGCACTAGATGGAGCGGCCATTGAAGAGTCAGTGGTCTGCACGGAGGGTGAATGTTCCTCAGGCCACGCAGAAATTGTCTTGAGTGTGGGATGCCTGAGCAAATGATGCAGAGTTAGAACGGATAGCCAAAGGGTCTTGGATGGTCTGCCTGAGCAGAGATTGCAAACATTTTGTAAAGACCCGTGGCGTGGTTGGCAAACTGAACGGGAGGTCTTTGACTATATCTTTCCTTGGAAAGCAATCCTGAGAAATCTGCGGCGATCCAGACAAATGTTTGTATGAAAGTTAGTGTCCTTTAAATCTACGACCATGAATCAATTGCCGTGTTGAAGTAGTTCAATAAGTACTGTCCAAGGTGACCATACAAAAATGATGTGGGGTGATGGAAGAATCGAGATGGTGGAGATCTAAGATAGGTCGTCGTCTGCCATCCTTTTTAAGGACCACAAAGTATCGGGAGTAGAATCCCAGAACAAATGTCTGGACTGGAGCAGGGGTCTCCAAGCTTTTCAGTATCACGGTCACCCACATTTTACAACATTTTTGAGTGCCAAAGGAAGGAAGGGGGACCCAAGCAATCCCCCAGCTCCGCTGTCTTTGCAAAGACAGCGAGGGTGGGGGATCACTTGGGTCCCCCTTCCTTCCTCTTCCTATGCCTGGGCCGGATGAAAAGGCAAGGTGGGCTGAATGTGGCCCACAGGCTGTAGTTTGGAGACTCCTAGACAACAGAGACGGCATCCTTTTGCAGTAGGGAACACATCTCCTCCTCCAGGGCGGGAGAAGGGGTGGTGGTTTTGAAGAATCCAGTTGGGGAGAGGCAGTCGAACTCTACTGCGTAGCCAACAATGATAATGGGGAGGGACCCAGGCGTCTGAAATGATGTGTTGCCATGCATGGAGAAAGGTGCTAGGCGGGTGGTAAGCTTCTGATAGTGGACGGGGGGAGGGATAGGGAAGGGATGTCGAGGTTTGGGGAGTCAAACATTATGTCTTCTCCTCCTCCTCCTCTCAGATCTACGGGCAGACTGACGTGAGTGGTGCCTCTCAGTTTGCTCGTGAACAGAGAAAGACGGTTCGGCGGGTGCTTGCTGTCGCTGGCGATGAGGTTGAGTGTTATAAAGCCTTTCCATTCTTTCCTGCTTCTCACGGTCGTCTAGAAGAATTTCCTCTGTCTTTTTTTCATCAAAAAGATTGAGACCATCAAAGGGCAGATCTTCGATTGTAGACTGTGCTTTCTCCGATATGCCAGCACTTCGTAGCCACGAGTGGCGACGCAGGGTTATAGCTGTAGCCAGCTGTCTGGATGCAGCATCCACCACATGCTGCACTGCAATTTTCTCCTGACTAGCGAGGGTCATGGCCTCCTGGTGAAGGGAGAGGCCTTCAGAACGCTGATCTTCCGGAGCAGCCTGGAGAATCGGTAATACTTTGTTCCAAAGATGGCGATGGTAGTCTCCCATCGCAGCTGTATAATTAGCTACCTGAAGGATGAAGACGGCAAGACAATAAACCTTACGAGCTATGATATCCAACTTCCTCCCTTCGTAATCGTCGGGGCTGGTGTGGGAGCGATTCTCAATAGCAATCGGAACAAAAAGGCCAGCAGGAGGATGTTTAGCAAGAAATTTGGTATCGGCACCACGGATTTTATAAAGTTTTCTGGCCTCCCAAGGCATCAGAGAAACAGAGGATGGCTTCTTCCATGATTCCTTAATAAGTTCGAGAAGAGAAGAGCAGAAACCTAGAAGAACTGATGGGGTCTTTGGTGGAAAAAGATCCCCAAATATCAAATCGACCACCACTGGCGGCTGCTCAACCTCAAGGTCCAAGGCCTTGGCAATACGGAGGATAAGTTTCTGGTAAGGTGACAAGTCCTCTGAAGGAGACGGAGGACGATCTTCCACGATACCAGAGTCTGGTATTGGAATGTTAGGTGGAGAATCTCCCTTGGTTTCGTTGTCGGAGTCATCGGTATCGGTATCAGAACAGACTGGAGGTTGATCTGATGGAGAAGGTTCTCGCTGAGTCGATACCGATGGACCATCAGAAGGACCCTCAGGAGGTAAAGTGTGACGTTCATCTTTTGCTTCGTTAGGCTTATGCAGGGCTGATTGTGTCGGGGCCTGGCTGGAGTCAGTATTGAGCGGATCTGGAGGTGGTCCTTGGTATTTCGTGGAGACCTTCAGTGAGGAGGACTGGACCGGAGATAGAGTCGATCGGGTCCGGGATGGCCGGCTCGATTCCGGAGTCGCATGGCGTGGTCGCTTGGCTGTCAATTGGCAAGTACCCTGATCGGATGGAAGGGGTCTCTTCCGATCCTGGGATGGCGCTGATGCTGGTGGAAGTGTGTCCGATTCATCTCCTGAAGACTGGTACAGAGGGTCCTCAACCGGTGTCCGGTGTCGAGGAGGAGATGGTGATGTGGATGAGTCCGAACAGTAAGCATAGGCGTAATGGTGAGGATGGTACCAAGGGACTGGTCCGTACGGCCATAGGCCATAATAGAACTGAGGTCCAGGCCCATAATAGGGCGGATGATCATAAAGCTGGACCTTTTTAAAGCGGCGATGGTGATAAGGCGGTTCTTGAGCCATAGGCATGGGATAAGGAGCACGAGGTCGGTGTCCGTCGGTATCGCCGTGATCAATATGGTGAGCCTTATGGGTCCTCTTCCGAGGAGGATCTTCCCGTATCGGGTCAGAGACCGACGCCGAGGTATGTCCTGAAATGGAGCCAACATTGTGATCAAAGGCTCACCTGCGCCGAAAATATAACAGCAGTGACCTCAGCCGAGGTATCCCCCCCCCCAGTCAGGAGACTAACTGAACCGTGGGGAGGGCGCGTGACCAGACAAAGGGAGAGGAACATCCTCATGCCCAGACAACAGACTGAGACTATCTTTATTTTCTTTTTCTTACAGAATGCATGGAGCTCTGTAGCCAAGGTGCTGCTGCAGCCACGGCGCAAAAAAAGGAACGGAGGTCCCTTTGTGCCATGGGCGGGGCAGGCGCCGTGGGAGGGAGGTCCTAACGGACACATATCAAAGCTCTGGAAGTTTCCGAAAGTCTCTGCCCAGGCGCACTAAAAGCCAATTGTGCGCATTCACAGAGACCATGAAAAAGAACAATCCCCCCCCCCAAAGGGATGGGGTGGGTGGGTGGATGGGTTCCAAGTCATTGGGGGGGGAACCCAATTTGAGTCCCCGTTGAGTCCCAGGTGGCACTGAAGTCCGACCTGAGAGCGTCTCCTGCAGCTCAAGCCCCCGTATCCCTGAGAATTTGCACCGTATACCCCATTTCTCTTTCCTGGGATGCTTCCTATCTTGAAGGGGGCAGGAACAGAGTGTGTTGTTCAAATCGAAGGGTGGCCCCATTTAGGCTTTGCTGATAAAAGTGGGTTTTCGGAGCGGGAGAGGGATTCTTTTAGGAGTCAGAGGAATTAGGTTTAAGGAAGTTCTGCAGACTTTCAAAGTCCAGGAAAAACAAAATCATGCCCAGAAGCTGTCGGCTCTCCTGGTCCGAGGCGAGAATTTCCAAGGTAAAACCTTAGGAATCACACCAGGTTATGAGGAGACTGATGGGGGGTATCCCAGAAACAGCCAATTCTTAGTCTTAGTCATTCGGCCTTCTCCACCCCAGACGTCCCCGGGATGTTTTTACACCATCAGGACTGTTAACCAGAGAGGGCCAGCCTAGTCCCTACTAAACAAGCAAGACTACTAAGGCGGGCAAGCTGCCTCCTAAGTGCCTCTTCACCACTAAAAGACATGGGCCTTTTTAAAATGCAAATGACATCAGCTGGTGAGAGGGGAGGGGACTGATCGTTAATGGAACAAAACAAAACCTATCTTTATATCTACTATTAGATGTAAGGGCTGGGTGCCTGGCTATTAAGACCGCCTTACGATCTGTGTACCCAAATGGAAGGCAGAAACACAGGAATTATAAGCACGCCACTCCACTCTAAAATATCTTCTGTAGTTCAGCAAAAAGATAACAAATAAATTATTGATATACTGATTTTCAATTGCACTGCTTGGGATGACATGGCTGGTGAATTTTTTTCTAGAGCAGGAGTGGGCAAAGTATGGCCCCCAATTCCAAATGCAGCCTATGGAATCCACACACTCTTTCAAAATGTGCATTTAAAAAAAAAATCAAAAATTCCTTTGTGTCCTTTCAGGGCATAGGAGTCAATTTTGCCTTTTTACTCACGCACTGAACCCAAGAGATTTCTATACTCATCAACATGTATTTTTAAAAAAGTATTGTCCACTAGAGGGCATGAGGGGGCTCTTTCAATTAAAAAGTATTTTTAAAAGAAAAAATTTTTAGGGGTAACTGGATGCAAGATGCAGGGGTGAGCCTGCAGAGTTCTTGGGCCTCTGGAAGTTGCCCCACCCTTGCATTAGAAGGAAATCCTCCACACAGAAAGCTAGTAAGTCAGGGAGAGAGCTAGCCTAAGATACCTCTCCATGACATGCTAGTTTGCTATGCAAAGGGAGCATTCACAAGCACATGATTTCCACCAACAACAACTTCATCCTCTTACCCACTGTTTGCACAAACTAAGTCTCAAAGACATAGCTTGACACAAACCCCTTCCAAAACCCGGAGGAACAGAAGCCACCCCGTGAGCAGTGTTACCTTTCTTAGTGGTGGTGAAGTACTTTGAATCTGACATCTTGGTTTCTGGGGTTTGCTGCGCTGGCACTGAAAGAGAATGGAAAACTGTAAGCAGCAGGCGAGGAAAGCAAGCAAGCAAGCAAGCGAGCAATTCAGTTGACAGGCCGGTCTTATCTGTACATTTCAGCAATACTTTTCTTGGTGCGCTGGCACTGAAAGAGAATGGAAGACTGTAAGCAGCAGGTGAGGAAAGCAAGCAAGCAAGCAATTCAGTTGACAGGCCAGTCTTATCTGTACATTTCAGCAATACTTTTTCAAGGTATTCTCTTAATCCTCTCCCACCAGAACCTTGGAAGGAACTGCCGACTGCTGGCCTTGACAAGGCAGGGGTGGGCAGGATGGGCACCTCCCAGAAGTAACAACTGGAGAGCAATGGTAGTGAGGAAAGAAAAGGGGAAGGAAGTAAAGCAAAGCATGCTGCATAGATCAGTGGTTCTTAACCTTTTTGACGCTGCATAGATAACCACCCCACAGTGCTTCAAGCACTCTCTGGGTGGTTTACAATTTAAGTATGCAGGCTACACATCCACACACACCCCCGGCAGGTTGGATACTCAATTTACCAACTTCGGAAGGATGGAAGGCTGAGTGAACCTCAAGCCAGCTACCTGGGATTGAACCCCAGGTTGTGAGCAGAGTTTTGGTTGCAGGACTGCGGTTTAACCACTGCGCCATGAGGAAAGACACCAGGTTGGACCTACAGCCCTCTCTCCAGGGTGTGGGGAGGTAACTCCTCCAGCCCCCGAAAAAAAACCCAACCACGGCATGTAGTAGCAATAAACCCAGCAGGAAAGCAGAGGGAGACACACATACCACCACATCACACCCACAGGGCATGGAAAGACATGGTGAACTCGTTCAGCCATGAGAGATACCGCAAGGCAGCCTTAGGTAGCCTTAAAACCAGAATATGGAAGCTCTGCCCAAGGCCCACAGCTACTAAAGAAGCTGCTCGGTATCAAATTCATTGCCCTAATCTGTGACATTTTTGTTCAAGTAGCACTTCACTGTTTCGCAGAGATTTCGGGTGACGCTTAGCCGCGTCGAACAGTTTAAAGAATTGATGGATCACTCAAGCCTACGACGTGAGCTTTCAAAGATGGCCCCATTTGACACAAATACGTGCTACCACTCATGTCCTTAAACTCGGGCCTCTCGACCTTTTGAAAAATCCTCTCACTAGCAGGACTAGAGGGATTCTAGTAACAATAATCGGCGGAGTTTATACGGTCTAAGCGTAACCTACTCTGCTTTCTTCTTTGATGCCTTTGCAAACGGCCAATTTTCTTTCTACTCACCGGCTGGTTACAAAAGCCCCCCCCCCCAGCACTGCCACAGCTGGAGCAGGCCTCTTTCTTCTGCTTGAGCTTTCTTCCTCTGTGGCTGCTCAACCCCTTCTGGCAAAACCTCCTTCAATGTCTCACTGTATCTCAACCATGTGGGAAGGGAGGCTTTGATAGAGCCCTCGTGGGATTCGGCATCCAAGCCTGCTTTGCGCCATACATGCCCGGATGACAAGAGGCAGGAAAAATCTATTGCACAGCGGACCACATACAAGTACCTCTGCTTTTTCTTTTTTTAAACTCAAAGCTTTCCAGGTACGGAATATTAAGCGACTAGTGTATTTCCGATGTGACAGGAACCACACATCCGGGTGTACAGTATTTTCAGCAGTGCACAACCTATTTCGTGCAGGCTAAATGGACAAAGCCACACACAGAGAGACAGACGAAAATGATTACAGTGGTGCCTCACATGTTACCCCGCATGACAGGTTTTTTGCTAGACATTGGCTTTTTGCGATCGCTACAGCGATTCGCAAAACAGTGATTCCTATGGGGGAATTTCGATGGACAATGTTTGGTCCCTGCTTCGCAAACCAATTTTCGCTAGGCAACGATTTTGACAGCTTCCTTCACACTCACAAAACGGGTGTTTTTGGGACCTAAGCTTCTCAAGACAGCTATTTAAACAGCTGATCGGTGGTTCGCAAAGTGGCTTTCCTGTGGCCGATCTTTGCTAGACAACGACAATTCTTCCCCATTGGAACGCATTAAACAGGTTTCAATGCATTCCAATGGGGAAATGCTTTTCGATAGACAATGATTTCGCTAAACAGCGATTTCAGTGGAACGGATTATCATCGTCTAGCGAGGCACCACTGTACTTTCTTGACTACAGCTTTCAGACCTCCAACATGGTGGCTTCCTTAATTGAGCCAGGCTCCACTTTCTCTAGCTAGACATGAGCAGCACCACCTCCTCCCTTGAGTCAACTGGATAACTCTCTCACTCACGTCTGCTGGCCAAGGGCCATTTTTCCACATTTTCCGTACAACCAAAGGCTTACTCCCTGAAGGGTGGGGGCAAAAGAGTAGCCTGGGGCTAATTAACATTTTTTTAAAAAAATTCTAATATATAATAACAATAGCCTTAGAATGGCAGAGCTGGAAGGGATTTGACGGATTGAGTCCATGCCCTGTCCAGGAGGTCCCGTGGGGGGAATTGAACTCCCAACCTCTGGCTCCACAGCCAGATTCCCAAACCCCTGAGCTCTTCTCCAGCAGTTATATACTGCAAAGATTACTATTATGGGGGTTTGTAAATAGAAAAAAAAAACGAGGCTAACTAAAACAAGCAACAACAGCTGTTCAAACTGATTTGGGTCTCTAGCAGCATAAAAAAAGTTCAATTAAAAAATATACTGTACTGAGATGATGGTAGGTCCCCTCAAAATTGTCCTATGCATCCTAAGGGGAAACTTGCAGTGCCCAACAGTTTTTTTTAAAAAGTGCTAAGATCCGAACAAGTCTGCATGTTGGCCCCACTCCTGAATCTAAACACCTGGCAAGCAAGGCAGAGAGAAGGGGTTATACAGGATTAGACCTCTCGGCAGCTCCTCTCTTAGGACCCTGGTCGCCTCTAGCAGTTCTCAAAAAAGACTTCTGCAACCGAGAAGTGCAACGAATCGCTTCCATTAACAATTTATCAGGACTCGGCCTCTTCTTTCAGCATTATCAGTTCACAGAAGCCACTGTGGCTTCTATGTAGGACGGTTGCGGTTATTTCCCAGGGATGGCAGCCCAAGAAAAGGGACTGGCGAAGCGCCGGTGGCTTCTCCTAAAAAATTCAGCAGACTAGAGAGTAACGAAATTGTCTAGAACAAGCTGAATAGGAAGAAAACAGTCTCACATCTTCCCCCTTACCTGGTCACTCAGCAAGAGTAACTTTCTCCTTTCCAGTTTAAAGGGCGAAAAGCACCAACAGCATCTCTCTCTAACTGCTTGTGTCCCTGTGGATCTGATCCTGGAAATGAAATATCCCTGCCAATCACATGAAAATGCCTGCAACGTCTTTACCGTCATTCAATGTTCAGATACCCATACTTATAGGACAGTGCTACAAGCCTCAACAATCTTAACTCATGTGTCCTTATGTATACTGTAGGCAGCCCCCCCTCTCATCATTCATTCTTTTTATGTTCCACCTTTCTCCCAATAACATACCCCAAGGCAGCTTACAAAACATACAGAAGATAAATGCTGTCAATCAAAATTATAATAACTACAGTGGTGCCTCGCACAACGAGTGCACCGTAGAGCGATGAATTCGCTCTTCGAGGCCGGTTTATCGCAAATGCGATCGCACACCGATGCCTGCATAGGGCGAAAATCGCAGAGCGAAGGTTGGTAAGCGGTTCGCTTACCGACCTTCACTTTGCGCCCCGCCGATCAGCTGTTCGACGGCTACAAAATGGCCACCGGAAGCCCCAAAATGGCCGTGTGCAGCGTTTTCGCGCCCTCGTTAAGTGAGGGGAGGGCGCGAAAATGGCTGCCGGCCATTGCAAAACATCGTGAGTAAATCAGCTGATTGGGACCAATGGGCTTTTCTGCCCCAATGGGCTTTTCTGCCCCGTTTAGCGATGTTTTCACACAGTGAGGGTTAATCTGGAATGGATTAACCTCGCTGTGCGAGGCACCACTGTATTTCTCTCTTTACCAAAGGTTTTGAGTCAAAGCATAATTTTTCTTTCTGGAGCCATAATCTCTGCTTAACTCTAAAGACCAGGGTAGCCCAGCTACCATTTCATCCAGATCCCTACCTGCATTTGGAAGAACCAGCAGAAGAAACCAAAGAGGAATGGAACCACTGCCTGAAAGAGGGCACAGCCAAGGTCAGAGACTTCAAGGGCCGTCCCTGTAGCCCTAACACATGGCTGAGCATTAGAGTCCTAACCATTTTTTCAGAAAAGGTGCGTGCAATGTGACGGACTTGCTACGGCAGGTGATTTCTGACTGTTGCAAATGGACTTATTTTCAAGGCTCAGCCATCGCCTGTTCTTTGTTCCAGTTCTGCTTCCCAAAGTCAACAAACACTCTAGGAAGCAACATAACAATCTTAGAACTCCGGATCCAGATGTGACCCAGTGGATCATCCGGTCCTTCCATTTCAGCCCTTTGTCAAAACGTTTGGAATGATTCCCAATGCCTTGTAGTTTAAACAAACACGGATGACTGTCCATGATCACCCCACCTCTCCATTTACCACCTCTCCCTCTGGTCATGCCCCAGTTTCCTTGCTTTTCCCCAGCTTTTGACTGTAAGCGCCTTGGGGCAGGAATCTGGCCAAAGCTGTTCCTTGTCAGCGCTTTGCAGAATGACGGTGTTGCAGAAAGAACAGAACAGAGTTACAGAAAAAGGAGCAAAGGGCCGGCACCAGCTACCCAGTAAGGAAAGGTTACAATATCTGGGCAGGTTTTAAAAGGGGGCTTAGATAAGATCAAGGAAAGCAGGATCATCAACACAGCTATACTCAGAAGAGCTACCTGTCACCTACAAGAGCAGCGTCCGCATAATTTCCTGGTGGGAGGGCAAAAGGGAGAGTGTGTTGTCCTCACGTCCTGCTGGTCAGCTTTCCTTCCGACACCAACTGACCACAGTCCAAAGAAAACGCTGACCATGACAGGCTTTTGGTTTGTTTCAACATGTTTAATAAGGTGGGTTTTCAACAGCCACCACCACTGGAAAT